GATGGTGGAGGTTGCCTTCTGAGTTAGGGTTCATAGCTGAGATTAGTATTGCAGCTTTCCCTGTGGAGGTTAATTTGAATTAATAGTCAGCATGAAACTTCCTCACTAGACTGGTTTTTCCACAGTTAACCGAAAGTGCCATGTTTATTTTGTCCACTAAGCCTTGGTTCATCTACTCTTGCTCCGTAGAAGCATCATGCATCTTCACCTCCACCTGCCAGCTAAATCTTTCTCCCCGACACCCTGTTTGATCTCCTGTGTCTGTACTGAATTCTACTTGCTCAGTCCCCATGTGGCATTACTCACATACAGATTTACTAATATTTGCCTGTCTTGTCAAGCGCTGGTTGGAAATAGTGAGATCTTGTTTCAGTAAATGGTGTGACATGCTCCTTGGTGTTCTATGCATTGTAGATGCATTTACTCTGTGTTTACAATCATACTGCTTATGGTTAGATGAGTCCTTAAGTGATTTGGTCTAATTGCATCATCTTATAGACAAGAAAAATGAAGTTCTAAAAAAAGTAATATACTTTCTCCTAAGTAATGGCCAGTTACTGTCATGGGTTCAGGCAGGACTGGAAGTTAGATGTCCTGGTTGCAAGTTTAGAACAATTTCTACTCCTCCTTCCTTGTATCCTTCATCCAACAAATATTTATTGAGCCTCTCCAAAGTGGCAGGCACTCTGCTGGGCCCCAAGCAATGTTGAGCCTGTCTTAGGAGTTGTACTATGAATGTGGAGGAAGATGCTAATGGGTATCACACACATAGATGTGCACCGTTTACTCTGATAAGTGCTGCTAAGGATTGTGTAGTTATATGAGAGTAGTAATGGGTGGAAGATTTCCTTGGGAAACTGACTGACTTGTAGGACTTGGCATTGTGTTTCTGTATACTTTTTTTTTTTTTTTTGCAGTTTTATACCTTTATTTGACAATCAGCAATTAGTTCTCATCCACATTAACTGTCTGTAGATTTTTGAAAGTGGTGACAGGTACATAGGTCACCAGTGTGTAGAGCTTGTTTGGTGAATCTTCATCCTCGTTACGTTTTCTGGACAACTGCACATGGATACGGTATGGAACATTCCTTATTCCTTTGGCCCAGACAGCTTTGTTGAGCCTGGTGTCAATGCGCACATCTGGAGTTCCCATCTCCTTCATGGCAAATTTCTGGATCTCTCTGAGTGCCCGAGGGGCACGCTTCTTGAAACCCACTCCATGGCTGCGCTTGTGAATGTTGATGGTGTATTCTCTGGTCACTACCTCGTTGATGGCAGAATGGCCCTTCTTCTTCTCGCCACGCTTCTTTGTGGGAGCCATTCTGCTGGGCCCTGGTTGGAAAGTCTGTATACTTTTTAAGTGCAATTAAATTAGGCAAGTATTTGTTATATGGGCCCCAAAAGAAATCAGAGTCCGTAAGCTCCAGCCCCTTCTTCACTGTATAGACTAGAAGGGGGATAAGTCAAGACATAACTGTTAACATAAAGCAAAATATAGAAGTTCCATGGTGCAAAGGATGCAAAGATAACTTTTTTTGGAGGGGAAGAAAATCAGGAATAACTTCCTGTGAGATGTGGCGTATGATACAGCTCTGGAGCAAAAGCTAAAGGAGGTGCAGAGAGGAAGAGGGAAGGCATTCCAGTTGTAAGTAAAAGCAAGCAGAGATAGACCACGAGAGGAAATTACAGGAGTTTCTGGCAATAGAAGTCTTCTCATTTTACAGCAGCAGGCTCTTGGTGGAAAGTCACAACTCTGCACTGTTGAGAATGTTGTCTTTATTTAAATGCCCGTACAGTCAACTGAAATTAAGGATGGAAATGCAAATAGTCTGTCTTGTTCCTACTCCTGGAGCACATAATCCTGTGCTTTGTTTGGTTGCCATCTGTATGAACTGTTTCCCCCATGCCCTGCAGGAACACTGTCTAGTTCTCTAATTGCTGTATCACCTAGCATTTCACTGGGGTCCAATAAACATTTAATCATAATAGTGAAAAGTGTCTGGTATGCTGAAGCTGTTTTCTCTGGCAGAAGCCAACTTCTCTAGACACAGAAACAGGACTCCTTCCAAATGACATGACTGGCCCAGGGTAGTAAGTATCAAATGCATTGTGGAAATAGTACCTATACTAACCTATGTTGCCATGTCGTTTTTACCCTGTTCAGAGTGAGGTCCCAACCATTTCTTCCTGTGGATCGTATAATCATTTGTCTAAATATTATTGTGGGAAAGGACTGAAAATTACCTACTCCTTAGCATGTGTTCACCAGTAGCCAGCTGCTGTATTCCAGCTTGTGCAGGACAGTGTTGTTGGTCAAGCTCATCGGGGAAGCAAATGGAAAAGAATCTTTTAGAACATATGTTGCAAATGAATGGCTCCTGATCTAGCTCAGGCACAGATATGTTTTATTTATCTTTTTTAGGGTTGCCAAGATCTAAAATTAGGGATAATTCACAGGAAAACCTAGATTTTTTTGGCTTCCTTGAAAAATTGGAAGATCTGGCAACAATGGGCCTACCTTGCCAATGGCGGCAGTTGGTTGGAGCTAAGCAGCAGCTGTGGTCTTTGATTAGGGAACATGTTTGTCAATGTGCCGCAGTCCCCATTACTCCCTATTGCCTGTATCCAGCCCATGTTAGTCATTTTCCTGGCTTTCTGGCCCTTAAGACATCTGCTTTGGAATGATTGGTGCCTCTGTGAGCCTCTTCTCTTTAGCTTCCCATAACAATTCTGGGCCAGCAAGGCCATTAATTATGATTAGAACAACGAGCATCTGTGTGCTTTGTAGTTTGAATTGGTTCTCAAACTTTTGCATGCATCAGAATCTTAAAACATTGCTGAGCCTTACTTCCAGAGTTTCTGATGCACAGAGTTTGAGGATCAGAGGATTTGCATTTCTCTCAAATTCCCATGTAATGCTGCCTTTTGAGAATCACCAAGCTACAGTACTGTAATACAATACAAAGCAACCTGAGGCTGGTGGGGCAGTATGTTTCCCACCAGAAATAATACTTGTAAAGAGTAAGAAATTTTGCCTAGGGTTATAAGAAGAAGTAGAGTCAGATTCAAAACCTTGTCTTTAGAGTATATCCAGCAGGTGTAGACCCCTGCTTCTGTACCTTGCTGCTTCCCATATCCACAGAATCCTCTAGAAAACCGTGTAATAAAGACGTAGCCATAGGGACTCTAATTTAGGATTATGCCATTATGTCCTGAGACACTAAGTTAGAACTTTCAGTGAGCATGGGGCAGAAAGGCAGGGGTTGAAACTTGACATTAGGTATACCTGCAGAGGTATGAGACATATACCTGCTGGACAGGACCTTTGACTAAGGTAGGCCCACCTGGAGTGGGACTCAGAAACAGGACTCCAGGCTGACAAGTTTGCTGCTGGGATAACAAGACAGTTTGCCTGGATAGGGGTTAGGTACAGAAAGCAACTATAGGGATCCCTTTTCCAAGACTGGGGTCCAGAGCAGAGCTAGAATTTCTCACTTACTAGATCTGCAAGGTCAGAACAGAACTAACAAGAAAGGTGATTTCTTCAGTCTCATCATGTTGGGCTTCTTAAAACCTTATTTAAGTCAAGATTAGTCTAATGATATGGCCCTTCCCACTTGGAAGAGAAGGAAGGTGAAGTTTGGGAACCAGACAGGGTCTAACATGGATTAAACTTATTTAAAAAATTTCTTAAAATTCCATCTGTGTAAAACTCTTTGAAATGAATAATTAGGTCATCATGTGATCATGATAGCCATCAGCTAACCTAGTTTGAAAATTTGTATTTCTGCAAGTAAGAGTATATAAATATAGGGCGCCTGGGTGGCTCATTTGGTTAAGCGACTGCCTTCGGCTCAGATCATGATCCTGGAGTCCCGGGATCGAGTCCCACATCGGGCTCCTGCTCAGCGGGGAGTCTGCTTCTCCCTCTGACCCTCTTCCCTCTCATGCTCTCTATCTCTCATTCTCTCTCTCTCAAATAAATAAACAAAATCTTTAAAAAAACAAACAAACAAACAAAGAGTATATAAATATATTATCAGCTACTTATCTCCAATTTCCAAGGTAGTTATATTTATTTGCATATTTATGTGTATGTATAATTCGTACACATATATTAATGTAATTATATTAATGTACCATGTGTAGTTACAGGTTATGGATGTAACTTACTACATCCATGAAACTTAGTTTGACTGGGATTTTAGGCACTGGTATAATTTGGTTAATTTCAGGGTTGACCGTACAGCGTTTTGATTTCAATCTTGTTGAAAAAATTTTTTAAATCTCCTTACCTCTTTCCTGCTAAATGTTGTATGATGAAAATAACAAAGTCCTTTTTCCTCATTAAAAAAATTAATAAAATTCTCAATCTGATAATGTCGATAAGGCAGATATGAAATAAATACTTTGGAAGTAGGGTGTATTGGAATGGAGGGGAGGGGGAATGGTTACTGTGTTTCACATCATTAATATTAATTGTTCTTCTAGGGGTTTTATACCCTATCCTGAAAAGGAGTGATAGAAACTAAACCCAATTAGTTGAGTCTGATTAAGTTTCCGCTAAGCTGTAAACACTCAAGGGCTGGGTAAATTATGTATTTGATGATAATAAACTATAAACATAGAGGGAATAATTATTCCTGTCCTTTTCCTCTTAAATAATATTGGTTTAGGATTCAGATAGTCACCAGAAATGATCATATGTGTAGCATGACATCCTCACTGTTCTGATGGGAACTGAACACTGTCTTCCCTGTCTTCCTCTAATTGACTTTAAGTAGCCTCAAGGTTTACTCTATAGGGAAAGATTTGGGATTGGATTCTCTCTAAGGGGGAAAAAAAAAAAGAGGAAGCAAGACTTTTTGATAAACCAGTTTGAAAAAAACGTATGAAGGAAGACCTCAGTGGTGCACAGTATACCATGCGATCCAGAGGCAGTTTTCAGTGACAGAAAGGAGAGAGATTAAAACTGCTGTTTTTGTTTGTTTTTAACAGGCTCATGCACAATTAGTTCGAGAAGTCGACGTGGAGAAGGTGTCTGCTTTTGAGAATCCATACGTAGATGCAATAAAGAGTTTATGGAATGATCCTGGAATCCAGGAATGCTATGATAGACGACGAGAGTATCAGTTGTCTGACTCTACCAAATAGTGAGTATTCTTCCAGTAGGCCCTTTGGATCTTTCTTTAGTTTCGTGCGCTCTGCACTGATAATTTACTGCATTCTTGTGCTTTGTATACAGTATCTGCCCCACATTCCAGCTAGGAAGAAATAGAGCTCTTAAACATGTGCCAGCCTCATACATTTAGACTATATTCTAAGGGACTGGCATCATGAGTCAGGGAGAGTATTTCTTTTACTGTTTTCTGTTCAAAAAACAGACTGAAGACTCGAGGAATCTGATTTTACCAGCCCATCTCTTCCACCAAACTGCAAACCAGCAATTCTCAAGTGCATACTCCATTGTGATTTGAAATCCTGTAATAATAATTTTTCATACAAATTTCTGATCTTTTTGTCATGCGCTAGAAAGCACCCACACACATTAAAACCTTCAAACATATACGCTTGATTATGGCTTCTAACACATCAGACTTCCCAGTTTTCCAGTTTCCAGACACAGAACCTTGACTCCTTTCTGGGAGCCACTATTACGTTGATGGATAGGTTTGCCTTTGCATGAAAATTTTGTGTGTGAGTCTAATTTTGCATGCATTCCAAAATTATTCTGTGAGCTGTCAATCAAAATCATGTGTCCTGGGAGACATTTGCATCCTAGAGAGATTTGTTAGTTCTCTAGATTAAATCTCGCCTAACAGAAAGAAAGTGAAGATCTGGCAATCATTGGATTGATGTAATCAATGCAGTCAGCAATCTAGATAATCGGGCGCCTGAAAAATGGACTTTTTGTAGTATTTAGCCAGATTTCTGTCTACATTAATTATGTTAACCCAGCATTTGCCTCTTATGTTGGTTCTGGGTGGACACAAGAATGGGTGGAAAATAATTAGCAGCCTCAGGCCAGTTTGTATGATGCAGTGACCCGCTGGATGAGAGCAGGGCTGTGGGGACAATAAGGAGCCCCCTAGGCTGATTGGCCTCACTCATAGTGCCTGGAAGATCCAAGAGCTGTTCACTTCTATTTTCTTAATACAGTAGATCACGTTCTTACTCTCGTTCTAGGCATTTGTGTAAGATAAGTTATGATTCAGGTTGGCCACAGAAATGTTGCCTGGTCAAAACAGTTCTTCTAGTCCTATGGGAAATTTGAATTCCATACTTCTGGAATGTGCCATAGAAGGCTCATGATCACCGCGCCTGTCGTGTTTTAACAGTATGAATCCCCTGGTGTGCCAGTGGAAGGTGCACTCTCCTCATTCCTGGCTCTCTCTTGCCTTCTTCCACACCTCCACGTCACTGCTCTTCTGTTCTTTCTCTTCTCTCTGCCTGCCTGCCTTCGGCCCTTGTCCCTCCCTCTGGAGCCCCTACTGTATGAGTTTCTGTGAGCGCACGCATGAGAGATGTCGTCAGCTCTTGTCTCTTCCAAATTCTGCCCCCTCAACCTTTGACCAGCTGTCTTTCTCTTACTTCCTGCCCCCTCTGTCCTTATGTTTGCTTTGCCATTTTGGATTTCATCTATCTCCCCATGGTGCTGTTGTGTTGTATCTCTTGTTCCCTGTTCCTGCTCAGTATGTCTCCTCCTGTCTGCTTGCTTCCCCTCCACCCTCATCTGTCCGGCTCTTGGGTTCTCCTGTTCCTCCGCTGCACTTCTCACTGTACTACTGAGATGCCTCTCCTGGCCTTCATTAAGCAAGAAATCCTCCGTGATCAAGTTATATTTACTAAGAAATCCTCCAATCTCTCATATCTAACCTCTCTCTCTCTCAGCTTCTATCATAAATCCTGTCTCTCCCCGCTTCCTCAACCTGTTCTATTCTTTACCTGTCACCTGTGACTTTTCTCCCTACCAAGAGGTCTTGCCACTGGGGCCTCAGAGCACCAGTGTCTAATAATTACATGCTTACCAGGGTGAGCGTTCCCCCTTAGGAAACGATTTTTCCTCCCACTCTGAGGATGGACCCTGGGAGAGGTTCCTGTTTGCCCTGAGGACACCTCTATGAACTGTTGTGCCTGTGTTCTTGAGACAAGGCTCTCCCCCTATCTGGTGATGCTCCTCAGTTGAGGTGTGTGGATTTCTAGACAGGTGCCCATGAGTTAGTACAAGAATAGGACGTTGCAACATCTACTACTTTAGGGAGAGAGCTCTTCAAGACTATTTGTTCAGACCCCCATTAGCACTGGGATTCTGGGAAAGCCGCCATCTTAGAATTCTGTTGTATAGGCTGCCTCTACCATAGAACCATGCCTTTGGGCACATCCCTGATGCTGGAGCCAGACCAAGGTGTGGGTGCAGCTGGGACAAGTGCATCTAAACCCCTTCAAGTGATGATTATTTAAACAGTTTCACTTTCCCCTTATGGGGATATGGAGAAGTTGATTTTCTGAGCTATATATATGTGGGTTTATGTGTATGCACAGGCACCTAATTATTTTTTAACCATATTTGTGTGCAGAAGTAAGAAAGTAAATTATTACTTATTCTTATATACCCACATTTCAGTACCCATCTCTTGAAAAAAAAATAGGACATTTCCCTTTATAGTAAATAATACCCTATTACATATAAAATTAATCATCAGTCCTTTTTATCATTATACCCAGTTCATATTTACACTTCCGATTCTTCCAAAATGTCCTTTAGAGTTGGTCGGTTTTAAGACTGCACAGTGCTTTGGTTTTTATGTCCCTTAGGCTCTTGTGATCTAGTAGAGTCCTGTTTGCATTTCATTGGCATGTTGAAGAGATTAGCCTGATTGCCACTTTATATAGTATGCATTAACTTGCTCCTTTGTCTCCTGAATTTACTATAAACTGGAAATTACATTTAAAGACTCAATTAGATTCACGTTAAATGTGAGGAGAATGCACTTGAAGTGATGTTTGCTCATCATTGGTGAAGGTAAGGCTCACCAAAGTATTAGGGCACTGACACCCTTCATTATAAAGTTATATTTTTCCTCCTGCCACCAAAAGCAATCTGCATGGTGTTACTTTGTCACTGGGTGATCTCTGGTTCCCCATCCACTCTTCACTTAATGGTTTTACTTCCATTTGATGTCTTGTGTGATTTAATAATTCCCCTAGGGTTTATAAAAGAGTGAGTTTTCTACTTTTATCAGTTGGTCCACTTTGGTATTCTTCGGTGAAATAGAAGGTTTTCTCCTCAGCTAGTGCTATTTGATTACCCTTCAATAAATTTTCTGCTAAAAGGCATATGTTTTAATCTTTTTGTTACAGTAACTTATTGTGTAGATGAAATAGATGGTGACCATAGAATTATCATTCGAACGAGGACATTTTGAGAAGGAAGGGGTAGCTATTAATAATTAGGCTAAAATAAAAGGTATAAGCTGGGAATCCTGGCTAAACAGGAAGATTTGGTCACTTTAGCTGCATGAAACGTAGGGAGGTGTTTTGTATTTTGTTTGGGGATCCCCCCCCTTTATTTTCTCTGGAAGACTGTTTGCTTCAAGAGAGGGTAGAACCAATGTATTGCTACCAGTTATGTAAGGAGTTGTATGTAGAAACCTGAGTTAACTGGCCCTGCGTTTCTGGTCTCTTCCCAAGACGTTTTAGAACTCTTTATAGACCACTGCCCAGCAGCCTGGCTGGCCCACCTTTAATCCCACTGAGTATGAGAGACACCTTATTCTTCCCCAGTTAGTCCAGGGCATTTTTCCTTTTCCTTAGCTAGGAAAACCCTCCCAGCAGAAGGATAGGACCTGTGGTGTGTTGGATTCACCCACCAGCTGCTGCGCTCCACGTGTGTCTGCCTCTCTCTCTCTCCCTCTCTCCCTCTCTCCCTCTCTCTCATATATGTCGCCCCAGCGGACACTCTGGGAACTGCAGGAAGAGCACCGAGGAGGATGCGGGCCCTACATCTTGAGCACCACTGAGTCCCAGTACTGACTTCATTTTTACAGAGGAACTATGAAATACACATAACTCAAAATCATTCTTTCCTCTGTATTCGGGTTAGTTGTTACCTCTCTCCTGACATGTTTGTGTGCGTTCCACTGGTGTATCTTTAGCATTTTATCTCCCTTCTTTACTTCCTGTAGTTCTTCTATGTTGTCCTGTCTTTATAACTAAAATCAACAATACTTCATTGCTATTCTGGACCTGATTTCTTACACGATATCATCGCCTTACAGAACTCTTTCCGAACTCACAACCCACTTGTCTGAGTACTGTCTCTACTCGTGGTTGTTCAGTTGAGATGCAGGGGACACATACAGAGGTCATCTCTAGCAGGATGAGAAGTGGGGCCTGCCACGCACCTCTGCTCAGAGCTTGCGACATCATCGCTGTTCTCTCCAGGACCCTGCTGATGATGAAAGTCAGTGCCGGCCACTTGCCAGGAATGCTGAGAGCAAAGGCCAAGCATGCTCTCTTCTTCTTTTCTATTTGCTGAGCTCTTCTTCATCCTTCAAGACCCTATTCAGGGGTCTAGCCTCTGATAGTCTTTACTAAAGTGTCTCTCTCCTCAAAGCCTGACAGGGACTGCTCATGTTTGACCTTCACAAATGATTGTTCCCTGAAATAATAGATGGTTAATTTCCATGATTTCAGTGACCATGATGTAGGTGTCATTCTAGATGAACTATGAAGTTTCAGAGCTGAAAGCATTCAAGGTTTGTTTTGGGTTTTTGTTTTTTTTTTTTTCTTTCCTGCTGTTTTTGAAGGTCTGGGTTCTGGAAAGTTCTATTACCATTGTAGCTCCTGTTTGCTGAACACTTGCTTTATGTTAGATTCTGTACTTAGTCATCTACATGCATTATTTCGTTTAATCCTCAAACCTGCCTAAAGTGGTAGGTATTTCCTATTATGCCCATCAAACAGTAGAGAACACCAGTTCTCAGAGAGGTTGAGTAACTTGTTTAAAGTCACATAGTTAGTAAGTGATAGGAGTAGGAGTTGAAATCAGATTTCTATCCCTAGAGCCCAAGCTTTTAGTCACTGTGAAATACTTCACAGAGGATGGATGGATGGATGAGACATAGATAGATAGAAAATTGACCATAGTTAG